ATTTATTTTGGTCTCTTTTGAGACAGGGTCTCTCTGTAGCCCCAGCTGGCCTGGAACTCACTATGTAGACCAGGCTGACCTTGAACCCACAGAGATCTGCCTGCCTCTGCCTCCCGAGTGCTGGGACTAAAGGCGTGAACCACCATGCCCCGCCTTACAATTTGTTAAGTTTTAAAGCCAGGCACAGTAGCATATGCCTTTAACCCTAGTACTCAAGACCCTGAGGCAGGAGGGTTGCCTAGAGTTCAAGGGCAGCCAGAGCTACATAGTATGACGCTATTTTGTTTTTTTTTGTTTTTTTGTTTTTTAAAAAAAACTAAAACAGAAACAAATGTTTGTAATTGAACTTATCTGTAGGTGCACTTCGTCAGCTTGGAGGCCCTCTTCCATGTGTGTATATCCGTGTGCCTTTCCCATGAACACCCTCTGCTGTTCTGTCCCTCCTAGGAGATGCTGTACATCAACCCAACACACATTCAGGCGGCAAGAGCCGGTAACACCATCCACGCCTTCCTGATGTACCGGCGCAAACTGGACCGTGAGGAACTCAAACCAGTATGCAAGCTGTCATTTAAAAAATTTATTTTGGAAGCAAACCATTTTTCCTGTGGGTCTAGGGGGGAATGGTGGTCTGTTGGTAAAGCAGGAGGACTTGGTATGGATAACTAGTACTCCCATAAGAACCAGGTACAGTGGTGCTGTTCTGTAATCCCAGCACTGGTGAGGCGGAGGCAGGCGGATCCCCTGGGCTTGTGGTAAGCCTAATTGCTGAGCTCCAGATTCTGAGAAACTGTGTTTAAAAATACAGTGGATTGGGCTGGCAGTGTGGCTCCGTGGGTAAAGGCACCTGCTGCCACGTCTGACTACCTGAATTCTGTCCCTGGGCTCCACATGGTGGAAGGAGAGAACCAACTCCTACAAGTTGTCTCCTGCCCTGTGCACACGTGTCATACTGCTGGTGTACTCGGAAGAAACAAGACATGTCTTCCTGATCTCCTGTGGTTTATGACAGTTTAGAAATTCTAAAGTCACCTGTGTTAACCCTGAGGCAACTACAGGAAGTTGGTGTGGTTTAGCAAGTTCCCCATGTACTGCCCCAGGGAACCACCAGAGAAGATTTGATCAGACCAGGCAGCGTGTGCAGGAAATGGCGCTGCAACCTGACTCTTTTAATTGGCTCCTGTTCAAATTTTCCTGTGGGATTTTTTGCCTGTTTGTTTGAAACGCATTTTTATTACAGATTCGTCTTCTGGGATCCACGATTCCACTCTGTTCTGCCCAGTGGGAGCGACTGTTCAATACCTCCCGCATCCCGGGAGAGGAGACAGGTGAGTGGGGCTCCTGTGGGGTTCCCCTTGGGACCTAGGACTTACCGTTGCACTGCTCAGAACTGGGAGATGTCAGGATGTCTGGAAGCCAGGATGATCCAGGGGGGTATTTCCTGAGAGTTCCCATCTCCGAATGTTCCTCCCGTTGGATGACCTTTGTCTGAGTGGTGGTGGTGAAGGTGGTGGTCTGGGGTGAGGGTCTCATGTACGAGCCTGGCCTCCTTCCCATGGCTGGGATGTTTGTGTGGTGCCGGGGACAGAACCCAGTCTTCATGGATGCGAAGCAAGTGCTTTGCTAATTCAGCTGTGGCCCCAGCCCTGGACAATTTTTTTTTTTTTGGTCTTTTTGAGACAGGGTCTCCCTGTAGCTCCAGCTCACCTGGAACTCCCTGTGTAGGCCAGGCTGGCCCAGCTGGCCTGGAACTCCCTGTGTAGGCCAGAGATCTGCCTACCTCTGCCTCCAAATGCTGAGATTAAAGGCGAGTGCCCACCACACCTAGCTAACAAGGACAAAGCGGGAAAGTAGATGCCAACTGGGGCCATCCGGGCCAGACGGGCTCAGGTGTGCAGTGTTGGTCATGTTTTATCGCTGTGACAAGAGATCCTAACAAAACCACTTAAAGGAAGAGAGGTTTCTTTTGGCTCAGGGTTCCAGAGGTTTTAGTCTGTTGTTTCTGGGCTGTGGTGAGGTAGAGCATCTGTTTCTGGGCGCCTGTGAGGAAGCAGACCGAGCTCGGAAAGGGACTGAGTCAAAGACGGACCCTTCAAGGCTGGTGAGTTAGCTCAGAGCATTAAAGCCTGAGTTTGAGTCCCAGACCCACATGGTGGAAGGACAGAACCACCTAACATAAATTGTCCTCTAACGTCCACACGTGTGCTGTGGCATGTACACCACACACACACACACACACACACACACACAATTGAAAAATGTTAAAGATTTATTTTATCTAAATTTTTTGATATATTTTTATTTTATGAGTGTGTTTTGTCTGCATGTATATAGTATTCTATGTGCATTCAATGCCTGCAGAGGCCAGAAGAGGGAGTAATAGACTTGTTAGCCACCATGTGGGTGCTGGGAACTGCACCCAAGTCCTCTAGAAGAGCAGTATGCATGCTTTTAATCCCTGAGCCATCTCTCTAGCCCATAAAAATTAAAAAAAAAAATAGACCCTTCAGGGGCTAGAGAGGTGGCTCAGCGGTTAAGAATACTTGCTGTTCTTCCAGAGGATCTGGGTTCAATTCCCAGCACTTACATGGCAGCTAACAACCATCTGCAACTCCAGTTCCAGGGGATCTGATATCTTCTCTGGCCTCCATGGGTATTGTATGCACGTGGTACACTTATGTACAAGCATGCAAAACGTTAATACACATGAAAATTAAAAGAAAATTTAATGTTCAAAAGAGCAGATTGTATGGAGTTCATCCTCACGAATCTGCCTCAACACTCTGGGCTGCCATGAGGAATGGCCAGGAACTGGGCGTGTCTGAAGACAGCTGTCAGCAAAGCTTCACTCCCTTCGCAGCTTCTAGGGGAGAGGCTGCCCTGTCTCCTCCAGCCAACAGGAGGTCCAGGTGTCCCTTAGCTTGTGGGTACCTCACACATTCCATGGCCCTCTCTGTACCTGTGTGGGGTACAGCAGTGCGTTGAGACCTAACCTCAACACCAAGATATTAGCAAAGACCCAATTTCCAAATAACGTCATGGTTACAGGCTCCGGGGCTAAGTCCTCCTGGCCATATCCTCTAGAAAGACACAGCCCAACCCATCACAATACCTAAAATTTCAAAGGAAAGATTTTAATTCCTTGTATTTCAAAATTATTTCAGAACATTAAATTTTTATTTAGTATTTTTATTTCATGTGTATAAGTGTATTGCCTGCATGTATGTAAGTACACCCATGTCGTGCAATGTGCAAGGGGTCAGAAGAGGACGTCAGATCCCCTGGAACTGGAGTTATGGACAGTTTTTAGCTGCCATGTGGGTCCTGGGAACTGAACCTAGGTTCTCTGCAAGAGCAGCCAGTGCTCTTAACTGGTGAGCCGTCTCTCCAGCCCTACACATTAAATTTTTATCACATTATTTATTTGTATATGTGTGTACATGTGCACTCTCATGCCGTGGTATACATGTAGAGGTCAGAGCACAACTTTCAGGAGACCGTTCTTTCCTTACGTCATGTGGATCCCAGGGATTGAACTCAGGTCATCAGGCTTGGCAGCAAACGCCTTTGCCCATTGAACCATCTTGCTGGCCCTGTCACAGTCTTTTTTTTTTTTTCTTCAGAAATTCAAGGACAATTTTATGAAATTGTTTCAAAGAAAAATAAGTCAGGCAAGCTTTAAACCTTGGCATGATGGGGAAGAAGAGAAGGAAAAGAGGAGGAGGAGGAGGAGGAGGAGGAAGAGAAGGAGGAGGAAGGTGAGGCGGAGGAGGAAGAGGAGGTGGAGGAAGGGGAAGAGGAGGAGGAGGGAGGACAGGACGGGGTGTAGGAGGGGGAGGCGGAGACACAAGGAAAGAGAGGAGGAGACTCCCAGTAGTGCTCACTTGGGCATTACATGAGAAAAACTGGAACAATACAGAGATTAGTATGACCCTGCACAAGGAAGATACGCACAGTGGTAAAGCATTTCACAGAAGGAAGGTGAGGAGGAGGAGGAGGAGGAGGAGGAGGAACAGAAGGAGAAAGGAGGAGGAGGAGGTATCTGTCATAGTCTTTCAAAGTAGCGATCATTAAAGTCTGGGGTAAGGCCAGGGCTTCTTCCCTCTGGGCTCTTGTATCTTCTTGATGAAATCTTTCCTGCCTTCTTTGCTTTGTTTATTTAAGGATTTGTAGTCTGTCTGGAATTGATTTTTATTGCATGTGAGGGCAGATCTGGTTATTTTTCTCCCACACTGGCCCCTGTCCAGCCCCGCCTGGGGAAATTCTCTCTCTCTCTCTCTCTCTCTCTCTCTCTCTCTCTCTCTCTCCCTCCGCAATTGTACTTCTCAGGCAGCTGTTTCTACTCCAGGCCCTTCCCTCCCTTATTCTATCCCAGTACCAAATGGTTTGTATTTTAGCATAGTTATGGTATCCGCTCAGGCGAAGCCTCCCGTGCTCAGGAATTCTCATGCCTGGCTGTTCTAACGCTCCTATTTAAAGGCCCATAGACGTGGACACGGGGGAATAAATATCCTCACACTGTGCAGTCCAGCTGCCTGGTGCCCACTTTGACTTTCTTTTGACCTGGGTCCTTAAAGAAACAGCAAAATTATTTAATAAAACATACATACCCACCCCCCATGGGTCTTAAACACCATCTGCTGAAGTCCAGGGGCTTTACTGCTTTATGGTTTGTTTGTGTTTCTTTTCTTTTTTCTTTTTCTTTTTTTCTTTTTTTTTTTTTGAGATAGGGTCTCACTGTAATCCCACTGGCCTGGAACTCACTAACTCAGTATATAGACCAGGCTGACCTCGAACTCAGAGATCTGCCTGCCTCTGCCTCCTGAGTGCTGGGATTAAAGGCATGCGCCACCATGCCCAGCTGCTGTTTCTTTTATATATTTTTTTTCCATTGTATTTATTTCTGTGTGTATGAGATGTGTTGGGGGCAGGCACCCCATGGTGTTCATGTGTAGGTCAGAGGACTAAGTCGGCTCTCTCCTTCCACCTTTATATGAACTCGGGGTTGTCAGGCTTGTACAGCAAGCGTTTTTACCCACTGAGCCGCCCCCCCCCACCTTTGGAGTCTTCTGTAACCCAGGCTAGCCTCTTAACTCATTATATAAGCTAAGACAAGCCTTGAACTTCTGGTCCCCCTGCCTTCCTCTTCCAGGTACTGGGGTGAGACATACACCCATTGCACCTGACTGAAATAACTTTCTTCGAATAATTTTCCACTTCCTCTATCAGAACATTTTCCAAGTTGCCCTCTTGAAATTAATTGATTAAAAAAAAAGAACCTCACGATTTGGATGCTTTTGACACATGAGCTCTGTGGGAACCAAGTGTTCATTCATGACGAGGGTGCTAAGCAAGTGTCGTAGACGAGAAAATTGAAGCTTGGGAAGGGTTAAGGGATTTTCCCAAAGCTCCTCATGCAGTGGGTGACCAAGCTGAACGTGGAAGCCAGAGCAGTACGATTCCAGAGCTCCCACCGCCCCTCCTCTGAGGAGCGCCTTAAACCAGTGGAGTAGCTCAGTCTAGAGTCGTGGTGGTGCATGCCTTGATCCCAGTATTTGGCAAGTAGCAACAGGAGCATCAGGAGTTCAAGGCCATCCTTGGCCACAGAGTGAGTTTGAGGGTTAGAGGAGATCCTGTGTCAAAGAAAGAAACGAAGGTGCTGTGCCTGGTGGCGCACGCCTTTAATCCCAGCACTTGGGAGGCAGAGGCAGGTGGATCTCTGTGAAGTCCAGGTCAGCTTGATCTACATAGCAAGTTCTAGGCCAGCTGGGGCTACAGGGAGATCCTGTCTCCAGAAAAAAAAAAAGTGGGGCAGGACAGGTGGCTCAGCCGTTAAGAGCGCTGGCTGCTCTTGCAGAGGATCCTGGTTTGGTTCCCAGCACCCACAGGGTGGTTTATAACTGTTTATAACTCCAGTTCCAGAGGATCAACATCTCCTCTGGCCTCCATGGTACATGCATGCAACTTACATACATGCAGGCAAACACACATAAAATAAATGCATTTTAGGGGGTCTTTTTGAGACAGGGTCTCCCTGTAGCCCCAGCTGTCCTAGAACTCACTATGTAGACCAGGCTGCCCTTGAACTCACAGAGATCTGCCTGCCTCTGCCTCCCAAGTGCTGGGATTAAAGGTGTGTGCCACCACTCCTGGCTAAATGAATACATTTAAAAAAATAGTTTATTATTTTTGTTTTATGTGCCTGCACATGTAGGTAAGTGCACCTGTGTCATGCAGTGCCTGAAGAGGACAGAAGAGGCTGTCGGATCCCCTGGAACTGGAGTTATGGACAGTTGTTAGCTGTCATGTGGGTGCTGGGATTTGAACCCAGGTCTTCTGCAAGAACAGCCAGTGTTCTTAACCTCTGAGCCATCTCTCCATCCCCATAAATGAATAATTTTAAAGTGAGATCTGCCACCCCACCGTGCCCTTGACCTTGTGTCTCCATTTTTGTCCCCACCACCTGCAGACACCATCCAGCACATCAAAGACAGCCGGCATGTTGTTGTCTACCACAGAGGACGCTACTTCAAGGTCTGGCTCTACCACAATGGGAGGCTGCTGATGCCGCGGGAGCTGGAGCAGCAGATGCAGCGCATCCTGGATGACCCTTCAGAGCCACAGCTGGGGGAGGCCAAGCTGGCCGCCCTCACCGCAGCTGACAGGTACATGGCTTGGGGCTACTGGCCTGGGTCGGGGCTGCATGGTGCTCTTGAGGTGTTATTCCCCGAAGGGCCCATCCCCATCAGCACCAGCTCCAGGGCCTCGCCAAGGCACTGTGGTTCTGTGTAGGTAGTGAGTCCCCCTCCTGGCTGGTCACCAGAGCAACTGGGTTCAGGGGTCCCTTGGCCATTGCTGTATGGACAGCAGGTGTTGGGGGGCACATGGTAGAAATGGGGCACAGCTTTTTTTTCACAGGGCTGTGGACATATCTATTAAGAGCTTCAAACTTGCTATGTAGCCAAGACTGGCCTTGAACTCCTGGTCCTTCAAGTGCTGGAGTTACAGGCCTGCACCACCATATCCAGCACTCTCCTTTATTAGTGAATTTTTTTTTCTGGTCTTTTTGAGACAGGGTCTCCCCGTAGCCCCAGCTGTCCTGGAACTCACTATGTAGACCAGGCTGGCCTTGAACTCACAGATCCGCCTGCCTCTGCCTTCTGAGTGCTGGGATTAAAGGCATGCGCCACCATGCCTGGCATGTTAATGAATTTTGTTCTTGCTGAGGATTAAACTTGAGCCCTTGTATGTGCATGCAAGAACTCTACCACTGAGCTACACTTCAACCAGTGAGAATGTGTGTGTGTGTGTGTGTGTGTGTGTGTGTGTGTGTGTGTGTGTATGCACGCACAGGGTATACAGGCACACAGGGGGGGGCCGGGTGTCCACATTGGTGTGTGTGTGTGTGCACATACAGGGTATACAGGCACACAGGTGGAGGCCCAGAGTCCACACTGGTGTGTGTGAGTGTGTGTGTGTGTGTGTGTGTGTGTGTATGCGTGTATGTGTGTGTGCACACTCATGTGTCTTTGTCAATTGCTCTCCGTCTTATTTCTTAAATTTATTTGTACTTTTATGTGTACGAGTGTTTGCCTGTGTGTATGTAAGTGTACCAGGTGTGTGCAATGCCTGTGGAGACCAGAGGAGGGCATCCCATCCCCTGGAACTGGAGTTACAGATGTCTGTTAGCTGCCATGTGGGTGCTGGGAACCAAACTTGGGTCCTCTGTGCTTGTTTAACCACTGAGCCATCTCTCCAGCCCCTCCATCTTTTTTTTTTTTTTTTGAGACAGAGCCTCTCACTGAACCTGGAGCTCACTGATTGGCTAACCTTGCTGACCAGTGGGCTCCAAGGATTCTCCTATGTCCACCTCCTCATCCTCAGCTCTCAGAATTTGGACACATGCCCAGTGCACCTGGCTTTTTATGAGGGTGCTGGGGATTCGAACTCAGATCCTCAGGCTTGTGCAGCAAGCCCTTTACCCACTGGGCCATCAGCCCAGCCCTCTGGTGAACATTTCTTTATGTCCAGCTCCAAGAGAAAGTACAACAGGAAGGCTAGAGCCTCTCACTCACTTTGGGGAGGGGGAAATTCTGATTTCTGTGGCTTGACCAGGAGAAGAGAGATTGTCCTGTGTCCTGCTTGGGGGAGAAAAAGGAACAGGCGAGGGATGGCCAGAGGTCAGAGATGGGTTTTGCTGCTCTGTGAGGTGGAAAGCACTTCAACCTTTAACAAAAGGTCATCTTTCATGGTCCTGCCCTGGAGCAGTTCTTAGGCAGATGCAGGAGCCAAGGCCTTTAGGGAAGAGCCAAGAGTTAGGCAGGACACTCAGGAAATAACATAGGTTGTGAGGAGTTGTGAGCCAGGAACCGCAGACAAAAAAGCAGCTCATTGTAATTCACACCTTTGTTTCTTTGCCCAGCCTGTGACACTGGTGTGGGTGTCGGCACCGTAAGTTGCCACAGTTGAGAGAATGTAGCCAGAGTTGGGTGGGAGACGGGCAGTGAAGGGTATGCAGGGGCAGAGGTTCCCAGAGGCTGGGGCCTGAGTGAGGAAGCAAGCCACCCTACAGAGCAGCTATGAAGGGGGCCTGGCATTATATCCATGCCAACAATATGGTGGGAGGGCACAGGACCTTATGGGGAAGTCATATGAATATTGGTACCCTGGACTCGGGTCAGGCGGCTTGGGCTTTACCCCTTCCCTGCTACCAAAACAGCTGTGACTTCAACTCAGTGTGCCTCCGTTTCGTATTTGCTAGATGGGTCTGTAGTGTTGAGGAGGTCAGTGAGTTAGCACATGAGAGAGCCTGACTGTTGGGGGTGGCCCTTCTATGTTTGTTGTGGCATCTGCTACAGGGAAAGGCTCCTCTGGCACAGGCCTGTCTACTTTCTGTCTGTTCACGTGTTTAGTGTCAATTGAATCAGAATCCTGTACTGTACTTGGATCTGGGAGAGATGCAGCAGATAACAAGGCCCATCCAGCAAGTGTCCCACCAGGCAGGGAGTAGGCCAGGTGATAACCTGCTTTTCTATCCACACTGTAAAGGCTTGTCTGTGCATGGGCCTGTGCAGTGATATCTCAGGAAAAATGTGTGTGTGCAGGTATGTGGGTGTGTGGAGGTCAGAAGACAGCCCTCAGGTGTACCTTGGGGTGGTCCATCTTATTTTTTAGACAGGGTCTCTCACTGGCCTGGAGCTGTCTGATCCAGCTAGTCTGGCTGGACAGTAAGCCCCACAGATGCTGTCGTCATCTCCCCAGTGCTGGGATTTCAAGAATACACTACCACACCCAGCTCTGGGGGTCCTGCTTGCACAGTGATCGCTCTTACCCAGTTTGTTGTCACAGAGTGCCCTGGGCCAAGTGTCGCCAAGATTATTTTGCACGTGGGAAAAATAAGCAGTCCCTGGATGCTGTAGAAAAAGCTGCCTTCTTTGTGACACTGGATGAATCAGAGCAGGGATACAGGAAGGAAGACCCCGAGGCATCCATAGACAGCTATGCCAAGTCTCTGCTGCACGGCAGGTGTTTTGACAGGTATGCCCATTTACCTTTATTTATCTATATATTTACATTTATTTTTAAAGATATATTTACTTTTTAAATATTTTATTTGTTATCTTTTTATTTTATGTGTATGAGTGTATTGCGTGCAAGTATGTAAGTGCACCCATGTGGTGCAGTGCCCACAGAGGTCAGAAGAGTGTGTCCAATTCCCTTGGAACTGGACTTAGGAATGGTTGTTAGCTTCCATATTGGTTCTGGGAACTGAACCCAGGTCCTCTGCCAGAGCAGCCAGTGCTGTTAACTGCTGAGCCATCTCTCCAGCTCCAAGGTATATTTATTTTTTATTTATTTATTTTTTAATTTTATGTGTACGAGTGTATTGCATGCATGTATGTGAGTGGACCCGTGTCGTGCAGTGCCGCAGAGGTCAGAAGAGGGCTTCGGATTCCCCTGGAACTGGAGTTAAGGTGGTTCGTAACCATCATGTGGGTGCTGGGAATCGAACCGGGGTCCTCTGCAGGAGCAGTCAGTGCTCTTAACCACTGAGCTATCTCTCCAGCCCCGATATTTTTTAAATCTTTTATTTATTTATTTATTTTTTTTTGGTCCTTTTGAGACAGGGTCTCCCTGTAGCCCCAGCTGTCCTGGAACTCACTATGTAGACCAGGCTGGCCTTCAACTCACGGAGATCCGCCTGTCTCTGTTTCCCGAGTGCTGGGATTAAAGGCGTGCACCACCACACCCAGCTTAAATCTTTTATTTTTTACTTTATGTGTATGAGTGTATTTCCTGCATGTGTGTAAGTGCACCCATGTCATGCAATGCCCTCGGAGGTCAGAAGAGGGTGTCGGATCCCCTGAAACTGAAGTTACGGACAGTTGTTAGGCACCATGTGGGTGCTGGGACTCAAACGCAGGTCCTCTGCAAGAGCAGCCATCTCTCCAGCCCAGGATATGTTTCGCCTTTTTTTGGAGCTGAGGACCAAACCCAGGGCCTTGAGCTTACTAGGCAAGTGCTCTACCACTGAGCTAAATCCCCAACTCCCCAAGATATATTTATGTGTATAAGTGGTTTGGTTTGCCTGCATGTATGTATGTATGTACACCACATGCATGCATATACCTGTGGAGGCCAGAAGAGAGCATCAGATCCCATGGAATTGGAGTTACTGGTGGTTGTGAGCCACCATGTGGGTGCTGGGAACTGAACTTTGGTCTTTTGCAAAAGCAAGAAGTGTTCTTAACCACTGAGCCACTTCTCCAGCCCCTGGTACTGTCCTTTTATCTTCAAGGTGGGGTTACCTGTGTGCTTGGGAATAGATTCTGTAAAGAACTAGGAAGCCGGAAAAAGGGGCCTCAACAGAATAAGCAGGTTTATTAGTTGGGGGATAAACCCAAGAGGTCACTCACTCCTTGTGGCCCCAGGGTCTGGAGTTGGGGGAGAGTTTTACAAACTCAGTATTTTTATGTTTTTTCCTTCAGGAAGTGCCGTGTGATTGGAATTGTGTCATATCAGGGAAGGCAGAGGGGGGGCGTTGAAGCATCTCAAAAGAGGTAGCAATTATGTGAGGCACTGGTCTCTGGGCAGGTGAGGTTGGCAGTCATTCGAGATGCTGGTCTCCGGCGGCTTCTGCATTTAGGGTCTAATATTTCCCCTTCAGCCTCCATGTGGCTGACCCCACCTTGACATTCTAGCATCTAAGCATAATGCTCAGCTTTCTTCCCTCACCACACACACACACACACACACACACACACACACACACACACACACACATGGCACTCAGGGCCAGGTATATTTGAAATACCTCCATTCTCTGGTCCCACCACCTTAGGTGCCAGTAACCTGGCCCCAGGTAGGGTGTGTGTCTCAGATCTTGGAGCCAGCTTTGGCCTTGGGGATGGCTGTTCAGCTGCTGTGATCCTGCCCTCCTGAGACACTTTCTTTAGCTTTAAAGTGAGGACCTGCCTCCCAGGCCCCACTGGAGAGAGTGCTTGCCAGTGGGGGACAGCTGCCAGTTTCTGATAGTCTGTCCTGCTCTGGCCCGAGGATGTTCATGATCCAGTTCATCCCTGATGCAGGAAGACATGGATGACTTTTTCCTGTGTGTCCTTTATGTTCACCCTCTGGAGGCGTGGAAACATCGAGAACTGTCAGGGACAAGGAGCAGTTGTTGGTCCATGCGGAATAAACACACACATATAGTGTTTGGGTTTTGGTGTGTCTTTGACCACGGAAGGCCATGACCATCTCTGTCTCCCACAGGTGGTTTGACAAATCCATCACATTTGTAATCTTCAAAAACGGCAAGATAGGCATAAACGCGGAGCACTCCTGGGCAGACGCACCCATCGTGGGCCATCTGTGGGAGGTAAGCCATGTGGTTTGTCACCGATGTGAAAGGTGCTTGGGAAAACCCAGCCCAGACCCACTTGAACTTGAAAGTGTGGCAGTGGGAATGTGGGAGCTGCCTGCTCATATTGTAGTAGACCAGGAAGCAGAAACCTGACAGGAATCAGGGCTCTAGGCTATAAACCTCAAGGCCTGGCCCAGTAACTACTTCCTCCAGCTAGACTTTGCCTCTTGAAGAGTCTGTACTCTCCAAAACAGTGCCACCATTGAGGACCAAGTGTTAAAACCTTGTAATGAGTTATCCACAGGTGCTGGTACCTCACAGAATGTTACACTGATAAATTAAAGGCATTTGAATCTTGGTTTCCTGTGACGTATGTTTTTTAACCTCTAGTACATGCAGGGTCTCTGCCTTATGCCCCAAAGTCACAAAGTGGCCCTCAGTTCGCACAGCTCAGCTTGTTTAAAAATAATAAGCTTTACTGCTAGATTTCCTAATTTCCCTACTTACCCTACTTTTAGACCAAATAGAAGCAAGCATATTAAACTGTGTGTGTGTGTGTGTTAGCGTGTGGTACTGCAGACCAAGCCGAGTCCTAGGCAAGCACTCTACCGCTAGGCTACAGCCCTGCTGTTATTTTGGAGATAGTGTCTCACTAAGATACCCAGGCTGGCCATGAACTCACTGTGGTGCCCAGACTGGCTTTGAACTTGGAATCTTCCTGCCTCAGCCTCTTGAATAGTAGAGAATACAGGCCTGTACCACTAGGCCTGGCTTAAAATCTTGGCTTATAAAAGGGTAGTGTACCGGGGCCAGCAAGAGTCTTCAGAGGGTAAAAAGCACTTACCGTTCAAGCCTGATGACCTCAGCTTGATGCTTAGAACCTATGTAAGCGTGGAAGGAGAGAGTGCACTTCCAAAAGTTGTCCTCTGACCTCCACCACACTGGCTAAGACATTGAATCTTGGCTTCATGCAATATTGTGTCTGTCATTTTTTCCTTTCCCACGGAGCTAAACCAGCTCCACCCACTTGTGTCTCCTGTGCACCTGCTCTGCCCTCCTTCTGGAGGCGACAGGTCATCTTTAGGTCTCAGTTGACCCCACGTCCCTGAGAAATGCCCCTCCCATGAGGCTAGCAGCACCTAGCTCACCTTCCTTCCCCCCATCTCTGATCTCTGCTTGGGGTCTGGGAAAAGCCCTGGCAGCTTCTTCAGCAGGGGAGGGTCACGCCCCGAGACGAGGATGAAGAGAAGCCAACACTCTGGGCTGTAGGATGCCCATGTGGTGCTAAGACACAGCGGTTACAGTGCACAAGTGCAGGCCACTTCACACCAGGCCCCGCTGAGGTGTAGTCTGTTGGTGCAAATGTAGCCAACACCCGATCATCCCTGTTAGCCACAGATGCGGCAGCTCAAACACAGCTCTCGGGGCATCTTTGCACGGCCTAAGTTCAGGCCTGATAGAATATTCCAGGGACTTTTCTGACTGACAGGTATACAGAGCTGCTTCTGGGTAAGGAAGTGCTCTGGGTTCCAGGCAGTCTGCAGCACACAGGGCACATTCATCAAGGGCAGAATAACTCACATGGTGGCACATGCCTGTAATGTGTGAGTATGTATATGTGAGTTCAGGTGTCTGTTGACCTGGAGTTATAGTGGTTGTGACCTGCCAAGTCTGTGTGCTGGGAATGACCTGCATCCATTGCAAGAGCAGCCAGTGCTCTTAACTGCCTAGCCATCTCTCCAGCCCCCAGGCTGATTTTTAAAAGTACATTGATTGAGATAAGGATAAGAAGATTTAGCCTTAGGCCGGCCCGCCTCCTATTAGTATGGGTGTTAAGCTTCTTGCCTGCCTGATGAAGTACCCCCCAGGTGCCCATAGTGCTGGGAACTGACCTGGCTCTGGTCCTGGAGATGCAGTGGCCACATTCCCATGACCCTGTGCTGGGATGTGAAGCCCGGTAGAGGCAGATCCAGCTGGGATTACATTTCTCAAGACAATGGATCCCTGGACCAAGCAGCTCAGATGAATACACTGGGCCCTGCACATGCACAGGATGCACCAGACTGTGCGTGGCTTCATTCCACTCCAGCCTACCTCCTCCTTTAACCACAGTGACCCCTGGCCTCGACTTGAGTTCCTTTTTAAAAACCTTTCTAGCTGGTGCTGTCCTTAATCCCAGCACTCCAAGCAGAGGCAAGAGGATTGCTGAGATTTCAGCCAACCTAGTCTACATAGCAAATGCCATTTGGGGCTATTAGGGAGACAGATGTAAATAAAAAAACCAAAAATCCTTATTATTTTTAAATTGAGATATAATGCACAGAGAACCGTGTAAATAAAAGAGGTGTGTGTGTGCCAGACGTGGTGGCACACGCCTGTAGTCCCAGCACTGGGGAGGCAGAGGCAGGCAGATCTCTGTGAGTTCAAGGCCAGCCTGGTCTACATAGTGAGTTCCAGGACAGTGTGTGTGTGTGTCTTTCTGAACTTGCTGTTTGTCGTGGCTAATCTTAGTTGTCAGCTTGACACACGTGGGAAGAGGGAACCTCAACTGAGGAATTTGCACCACAGATCGACTTTCACACCTGTCTGTGAGACATTTTCTTAATTGCTAATTGGTTGATATAGAAGGATCTAGACCACTGAAGGTGGTGTCACCCTTGGGCAGGTGGGCCTGGGTTATATAGGAATACTGACTGCTGGGCATGGTGGCCCAGACCTCTAATCCTGTGGGTCTCTCCCTCCCCTTGAGGGCTGTTGGTCACAACAAAGGGACAAAGGGAGCAGAAGCGACCGATGGGGTCAGGACGGCCAGTGAGCACGACGGAAAAGACCTTCCAGGGAGTCAGATTCAGTGATACAGCTCCGTTTATTCAGTGGGGGTCAGGGAAAATATAGTGTGGAGGCAGCGGCCAAAGCTTCAGCTGGTAGGTGCTCACAGTGTGCTTTATTTACATGTGGTAGGGGATCCTATCATCTGGCTATAGGGCAATGCCTAATTATCACATAGAAAAAACTATCATGTTCCAGACAAGGCCAGGCATCTCTGCTTGGAGGCACTTTCCAGGCAGAGGTCAGGCAGAGAGCAGGAGGCCCCCACTGAGAAAGGGAGTCCTTCCATATAGCGCCGAGCTCCTTAGGGCTATCAGAACATGGTGGACTGCGACCTTAGCAGCAGGGTCCCCCAACACGTGTGTATGTACATGTGTGTATTTGTGTGTATGTGCATGTATGTGTGAGTGCATATAAGCACATGTGTGTATTTGTGTGTGCATGCATGTGTTAGTGTGTATGTGAGTGCATGCATGTGTGTGCACATGCTTATGTGTGCATGTGTGTATTTGAGTGCATGTACACGTTTGTGCATGTATGTGTATGTGAGTGTGTGGGTGCACATGTGTGAATATGTATATATGTATAATAAACACACACATGTATACATATAGATAGTGTGTGTGTGTCTAAAAACCTGGCTTTTTAAGTTTGTCAGTATTGTTTGTTTGATGGTTGTTGTTTTTTTAAATTTTTTTTTTTTTGTCTTTTTGAGACAGGGTCTCCCTGTAGCCCCAGCTGTCCTGGAACTCACTACATAGACCAGGCTGGCCTCAAACTCACAGAGATCCACCTGCCTCTGCCTCCTGAGTGCTGGGACTACAGGTGTGCACCACCACGCCCGGCCCTAAATATTTTTTAATGTATTATTTTTCGTGTATGAGTATATTGCCTACATGTATGTAAATGTACCCATGTCGAGCAGTGCCTATAGAGGTCAGAAGAGGGCATTGGATCCCCTGGAACTGGAGTTACTGACAGTTGTTAGCCGCCTTGTGAGTGCTAGGATTCAAACTTGGGTCTTCTGCAAGAGAAACGGGTGCTCTTAGCTGCTGAGCCATCTCTCCAGCCCCTCCCCCCCATTTGATGGTTGATTTTTGAGAATGAGTCTCACTTTGTAGCCCAGGCTGGTCTGGAACTCACCATGAGTTTGAGGTTTGACTTCAGATTCCAAACTTTCCTCCTGTCTCACCTCCCCAGTGCTATGATTGGGGGGCATGAGCCACCACCCACACATATAAGTCCATGGTCCTTATTCTGTTCTCCAAGTGATTGCATAGTAATTACCAATATACAATTCTAGACATTTTTATTACCTTCACTGCCACCCAAAAAACCCTCCCCACGCCTCTTTCTTCCAGCCCTGTGCTGCTCTGTGTTCTGTGTCAGCGGATGCAGTATTGTAGGTACCTTGTAGACACCCCTTGTCTAAAAGCAAGGTGGATGGCACCTGAGGAACGACATGCAAAGCTGTCCTCTGGCCTATACGTGCATAGTTTTTCACCTGCTTACACACAAATATACACATGTACACATGCACACACATGTAAAGTGAAATTTAAAAGCCCAAAGGATAGCATCTTCCAGACTGCTGGGCTTGGGTGGATCCAAGAAGCTGGGCCCTGGGGAAGGACTATCCAGGTTGCACCCCTCCCTTGGGCTGGTATCCACCTACACAGCCTTTAAATAACACTTGTAATAAACCAGTAAACATGTGTATTTCCCTGAGCTCTAAGAGCTGCTCCAGCAAATTAATCAGGCTAGAGGAGGGAGTTAAGGGAGCCTTGATTTACAGCTCACAAATCAGAAAGACAGGTCCCACCTGGGGCTTGAGACTGTCACAGGAAATGGGAGGGAGCCCCCCGGGTGGTGTCAGGTTGAACAGAATTAGAGGACACTCAGATGGGCTCTGTGGAAGGTGTGGCTGGCCTGATGTGTGGAGACCCCTCATGCCCATGCTTGGACCCAGATATGTTCTGTGTGGCGTTTCCTGTTCAGTCTTTGCTTTTTCCACAGTACGTCATGGCCACTGACATCTTCCAGCTGGGCTATGCGGACGATGGGCACTGTAAAGGAGATACCAACCCCAATATCCCCAACCCCACCAGGCTACAGTGGGACATCCCAGAAGAGGTAAGTCTAGTGATCTCTGGACTGTTACTCACCGGGGTGGGAAGCCTGGTCCAACTGTCACCTCTGAGTTTTCCAGCAGAGCCTCTGGAGTGTCCCCAAGCCTGGTGGATACACATAGACTGAAAGCTGTTTGCCTAGGGTGGGGCACAGGGCCTAGGTGACTGTGGGAGCCTCAAAGAACAGGGCTTCCTGCTGGGAATCCAGGTGAGAATTAGCCCAGACTGAGGATTTAAAAACCCAAGTCACGTTGTTTATTGAGCCATGAGCCCATGTAGCCCAGGCTGGCCTAGAGCTTGCTGCATAGCCAAGGATGACTTTGAACTTCTTACCTTCCTGTCTCCACCTCCCTAGTGTTGAGATGAGAGGTGTGCACCACCACGTATGGGTTATGCCATGCTGGGGATGGAACCCAGGGTGTTGTGTGTGTGAGGCAAGCTTTCTACCAGCTAAGCCACATCCTCAGTGCTAAAATGACTAACTAGAATTTTTCTTTTTTCCTTTTTGTAAGCTAAAAAAAAATTATGTTATGTATTTTGCCTGCATGTATGTATGTGCACCATGTGTGTGCAGTGTCCATGAAAGCCAGAAGAGGGCATCAGATCTTCTCCAACAGACAGTTGTTAGCCCCCACAAGGGTGCTGGGAACTGAACCCAGGTCCTCTGCAAGAGCAGCCAGTGCTCTTAACCGCTGAGCCATTTCTCCAGCCCCTTCTTTCTTTCTTTTTTTATTTTTTTTCTTTTGTTAGGTTTTTTTTTTTTTTTGGTGTTTTTGAGAGAGGGTCTCCCTGTAGCCCCAGCTGGCCTGGAACTCACTGTGTAGACCAGGCTGGCCTTGAGGTCAAAGATATCCACATGCCTCTGCCTTTCAAGTACTGGGACTAAAGGTGTGCGCCACCACACCTGGCTGTGCTTAGGTTGTTAATGTTGTCCTTGATCTCCATGGTATAGCAAAATGGGCTTCATACAACAGACCCACGAATGCAGAAAGACCTTGAGTTTCTGTAAGGCCCCCTCGGCAAATCAAAGTACTAGTCCTCCAAAGTCTAACTTGGTGCAATGACTGTTATTTATAGAACATGGGTGATCCCATAATAATCACACCAAAAAGTCTCACCACAGCAGGTATTGGCTTCTACATACCTGCATAGATGGAGCCCCCACCCCTTTCTGTCAACCTTCACAGTCCATATACTCAAATACTTCCTAAGACGATGAGGCCACGTTCAGTTAGGGAAGATCACATACAAAAGGCTGTGAGGGATGAGGGTGATGTGGCTGGAACATCTGTCACCCCATTGATTGCCAGGGCTGATTTGGCTGACCTGGCAGGCAGGCAGGTGTCCCCTTCCTCCCTTCCCACTCCATATGCATCACGCCCAAAGGTCAGTGAAAGATTAGACCTCCCCTGATAGAGCAGTACAAAGAGCAGCTCTCCCCTGCTAGAACCATCAAACAAGCTCTCTCACGTGGCTGTGACATGCAGGAGGGAACAACGGTGAGCTTCTTGGGTGAGGGTCCATGGGCACCCCATTTCCTTCTGTGAAGGAACATCAGCAGGCCGATCCAGAGGGTCTCTCGCAAATAGTCACAACTGTGTAATGACTGCACCAATGATGATGGTGTTATGGGTGGAAGACAGGGTCTGCTGTAGTTGTCATTGGGAAGCAGGTGCCTTTGATTCCTGCCCAGGTTCTCCCACTACTCCTGGGCGATCAAGGGGTGCCGCTTTACTGCCTCACTGGGGCTTCCCATAGCCCTTCCAGAAAGAAACAGGAAATCAGTGCAACTTGGAGGGTGGCCCTGCTTCCTCCAAATGTGCCTTGTGTTCCCCACTGAGTGGAGCCATCTTCTCTGCAGTGTCAAGAGGTCATAGAGACTTCCCTGAGCAGCGCAAATCTTCTGGCGAATGATGTGGACCTGCATTCCTTCCCGTTCGACACCTTTGGCAAAGGGCTGATCAAGAAATGCCGGACGAGCCCCGATGCCTTCATCCAGCTTGCCCTGCAGCTGGCACATTACAAGGTGAGAGGGTTGCTGGGCTCCTGTGGGCACTGAGGCACCCTGCACACAGGCCCAGGCTGACTTCCTAGTGAGCAGAGGAGGACTGGATACTGGCGTGGCTGAGGGCAGTAACACTGAACACAGGTACTGCAGGTCTCTGGGTGCCATGGAATGGCATGCAGTGGATCACACTCAGCTTAGTGGCATCTCTCTTCTGCCATTACAAACAAGGGGGTTGGAGACATGAGCAAAAGGCACAGTTAAACCTTCTAATAGGGGGCTAGAGAGATGGCTCAGTGGTTAAGAGCACAGGCTGCTTTTGCAGAGGACTCAGATTCAGTTCCCAGCACCCATATGATAGATAGTTCACCTCCATCCGTAACTCCATTTCCAAGGGATCCAACACCGTCTTTTGGCCTCCACAGGTGAGGCACATACACATATGCAGACAAACACATACAATAAAAATAAGCAAATCCTTTTTAAAAGAAACTTTATAATAAGCCATGAATCTCAGACTATTGTCAGAGGGATTGGTTAATGTGTCTGACCTCTGACAACCCTTTCCATAAAAGCGGAAGCGTCAACTTGCATACAAGTTGCAGAAGCAGTCTGTGTTGTGGGAACATGGGAAAGACTTCTGATTCTTTGGAGGGGCCGTCAGTTCCTGGGACCACTGAAGTCACTGTGGCACCAGATCTGGATGTGCTCCGGGTGCCCCTGGTCTGTCACTGCCCTTCCCACACCTGCTGCTTCTGCCTGGAGCTCTTCTCCTGCTGGGATAGCATCAGGAGTTCAGCCTCCCCAGGGGCTTCCCTCCACCCCCATGCTTTCCTTTTAGTTTAAAAAAAAATATTTTATGTGTATGAGTCATACAATGTCAGCAGAATCCAGAATAAGGTGTTGGAGCCCCTGGAACTGGAGTTACAAATTTTTAGTCCAGGTTCTCTGCAAGAGCAGGCAGTGCTCTTAACCGCTGAGCCATCTCCCCAGTCCCCCTACCTGACCCCCACTCCACCCCGCCACACCCCTATCCATACCACTCATCACGTTTCCATTCTGCTTCTAGAACATCATCCCAACATCTGAGTCCTGTTGCTTCAAGCTACTGAGCACTGGCTGCAGGAGCACCCCCCCCTCCCCTGCCACAGTTCCCAGTTCTTCCCCCCTGCACCCCTGGCTGCTGCTTCATGCCCCTCCCATGCTGGCACTCCATGAGTGGCCCTTCTGCCCCACCCAGAGAATAGGAGCTTACCCCGGGGACTTCCTGTCTGCCTCTCCTGACCCTCAGGGTTGCTCTCCTTTCCTGTCGGAGGTGGCACTGGCTGAGTGCCCCATCACCTCTGTCCCTGCCCCTCCCTCATGTCCCTTAGACCTTCTATGGCCCTGACCTTGCTGTGCACCTTGTCTCTCCTAAGTGCCTTTACATAGTCACATCAGCTCAGGGGCATTCAGTGGGTGTGGGTGGCTGGGAGGCTATAGTATAATGGAAACTGGGCCACCCAGAGATGGACCCCCACATCCTCCCAGCCCTTTCAAGGTCATGTCATAACTGGCCACTCCGTAGGCTGCCTGCACTAAGCCTCTTCTCCCTCCTTCCCAGGACATGGGCAAGTTCTGCCTGACCTATGAGGCCTCCATGACCCGGCTCTTCCGAGAGGGGAGGACAGAGACTGTGCGCTCCTGTACCACAGAATCCTGCAACTTTGTACTGGCCATGATGGACCCCACAAAAACGGTAAGGTGCCAGGGGCAGGGCACAGCATGGGACATGATTTCCCCCAGAGAACTTGGAAGCTGACATAAGGTTCTCTAGCTCCTCCATTACCACCCCTCCTTCCCCAGCTCCAGTGTCCATCCCTCGTCCCCAAGCTCCTCCATCCATACCCCTTGTCCTAGTTTGTTTCTCCATTGCTGTGACAAAACATTCTGACCAATACCAACTTGGGGAGGAAAGGGTTTATTCAGCTTACATCTCCCAGGTTGCAGCTCATCAGGGAGCCCAAGGTAGGAACTCAGGGCAGGAACCTGGAGGCAGGAGCTGGAGCACAGGCCATGGAGGAACACTGCTTACTGGCTCACTCCCTTGGCCCCTGCTCAGCCTGCTTTCTTATGAAATACAGGACCATATGCCCAGGGGTGGCACCACCCACAGTAGGCTGGGCCCTCCCACATCACTCAACAATCAAGAAGATGCCTCACAGACATGTCTATAGGCCAGTCCTATGGGGGCAATTCCCCAATTAAGGCTCCCTGTGCCCAGGTGTGTCAAGTTGACACTAAAGCTGGCCAGCACACCCCTCCTGCCCCAGCTCCTCCTGCCTTCCACTCACAGAGAAACAAAGTATTAAGAGGTGATGTGGGGGCGGTGGTAAGGAATGCATACAAAGAGATTCTTGTTGTGCACTGAGCTTTTGGAAATGAGATTCTCTATCCTGAGAACCTTCACATGAGCATGCACACAGTACAGGAACAGGGGAGAGAAGGACACCTGTGCTGGTGGACTTTAGCCTTGGGGCCACCAGAGCCCTTGCCTCACTGTGCCACGCAGAGCTGAGGCTTTTGTGTACTCTGCCTCTTAAGAGCTCAGAAGCAGCCCTGTGCCCTGTGAAGATGAGATAGGCTCAGATGAATTCAGCCCACTGTTGGGCCCCCAGTTAGCAAGTGGCCATGCTCAGCTCTGTACCCAGACCCGTGAGGATGCTCACCACTGATAGACAGCGGGGATCCCGACCAGGGCTCTCTTTCCTCTAGAAAGCATGGCAGGTGGCTCCTGTCACTTGAAGCCTTCAATAGGAACCTGAGAGGCCGAGTCTTTCATCGGAGGTTAGCACCTCACCACCCTTCCATGTAAAGGGCATGTATTGCCTAGATGCTGTTTCTGAGTCCAAAAGAACCCAAAGCAACGTTGTGTGTGTGTGTGTGTGTGTGTGTGTGTGTGTGTGTGTGTGTGTGTGGGCGAGAAGTCAATATTGGGTGTCTCCCCCCCCCCTTTTTATGTAGACCAGGCTGGCCTTGAACTCACAGAGATCCACCTGCCTTTGCCTCCCAAGTGCTGGGATTAAAGGTGTGCACCACCACACTGAGCCACAGTGCTATTTTAGTAGAATTGCTGGGGATGGGTAGTTACTAGGCACTGTGACAAAGTGAACCGAGGGAAAAAGCTGGGACAGAGCCCCAAGTTTGACAAGGACTCTTAAGGGCTTGAGTGATCTGTCCATGGGTGATCTCATTAGAATTGTGAGCAAGGTGGGGCAGGGTACACTCCCAGGGTGCCTCTCCAATGAGCAACCCCTACCAGCCCTTTTGAGGCAGGAATCTGGGAAGGAATAGCGGTCTGGTGGGGAATCTATCAAGACATCTTGGTCACCAACCACCTCAGCACATCCCATGGCCCTTTTGCAGAACTGAAGAGAAAAGAGGCCAAGCACTAGCAGACTCTCCAAAGTGTGTCCTTCCCCCAACCCTTAGGTGGAGCAGAGGCTCAAGCTGTTCAAGGTGGCATGTGAGAAACACCAGCACCTGTACCGCCTCGCCATGACAGGCGCCGGCATCGACCGCCATCTCTTCTGCCTCTACGTGGTGTCCAAGTATCTCGCCGTCGACTCCCCTTTCCTGAAGGAGGTAAGCTGCCTGCCTGGCGGGAACAGACCACAGAGTGTTGGCCGGTACATCAGCGTGGGTAGGAGGGCTGCGCCTAGGAGATGCGAGGTGCAGCTTTACTGTTGGTTCCTTGGGCCACTTGACAGGTTGGGGTGGGCTGTGCCCTTCTGACATCAACAGTGGAGCTGAGTGAGGGGAAAGTGGGAAACGATGTGGAAGAGATGATCTCTGAGTATCTGACATCTGTGTGGATGTGTGTGCACTCTGTGCACGTGTGTGAGGTGTGTATGCATCTGTGTGCACATGTGTGCTGGTTCATGCTGTGTGCACACGAGTATGCACGTATGCTTGCTTGGTGTGTACATGTGTGCTGGTGTGTACATGTATGCTGGTGCATGTATCTGCACCTCTGTGTGCATGTATGCTGGCACATGCATTTGTGTGCACATGAGTATTGCTTGTGGTTGCTTGATGTGTACACATATGCATCTGTGTACATATGCAGTGTGCTAGTGCATGCATCTGTGCATGTGCTGGTATGTACATGATGTGCACGTGTGCTGGCACATGCATCTGTATGCACATGAGACTACATGTGTGTGCTGCTGTATGTGTGTGCTGGTGAGTGCATCTGTGTGCACATGTGTGTGTGTTTGCATGTGCACACACACGTGAAAGCCAGAAGACAGCATCAGGCATCTTCCTTTATCACGCTCCACATTATTCCTTTGAGAACTGAACCCCAAACTTGCCATTTCTCAGCTCGGCTGCCAGCCAGCAATTCCCCAGCAACCCTCCTGCCTCCCCCTTCCCACCCCACACCCCAGACTGTAGGGACTTGTGGCCACTCCCAGCTTATTTTTCCTGGGCACTGGCGATTCAAACTCAGGTCCTTAGACTGGAACAGTGAGCACTCTTACACTGAGCCACCCGACCCTTCACCTTTGTTCCTTTTAAAAAATATTTTATTTATTTTTATTTTATGTGTATGAGTGTATTGCCTGCATGTGTGTAAGTTGTGAAGTGCCCTCAGAGGTCAGAAGAGGGCATTGGATCCCCTGAAACTGGAGTTACAGGTGGTTGTTAGCCGCCATGTGGGTGCTGGGAGTCAAACCCTGGTCCTCTGCAAGAGCAGTCAGTGCTCTTAACAGCCAAGCTATCTCTCCAGGCCCTCATCTTCTTAATATGAACTAATTGTAAGATTACAAGATTAAAGCTTTTTTGAGACAGGCTTCACTAAATTGACCAAATTGGTCTCAAATACCTGAGCTCAAGTGATCCTCCAGCCTCAGCATCCCACGGTAGCTGGGATTACAGTTCATTTTGTTTTGTTTTGTTATGTTTTATTTTTTGAGAAAGTGTCTCATGTAGCCCAGGCTGGCCTCAAAATGATTATGTAGCTGTGAACAGTCTTGAATTCCCAATCAGCCTGTCCTCAACTCCCAAGTGCTAGGATTACAGATGTGCACCACCAAGCCTGGCTTTTAGTTGTTGTTTTGAGACAGGATTTTACCCTGTAGCTTAGGCTAGCTTTGATGTTACAGCATCTTCCTACCTCAGTCTTGCTGGGATTACAGGTATGCATCACCATACCTAGCTATAAAACTTTAAAAAAAAAAAATAGGGTCTCAAGGCTGGAGAGATGGAGAGCGGTTAGGAACACTGTGGCTGTTCTTGCAGAAGACACAGGTTCAAATCCCAGCACCCACATGGCAGCTAACAACTGTATATAACTCCAGTCCCAGGGGTTTGACAGCCTCTTCTGTCCTCCGCAGAAGGGAGGACATGGGTGCACTTACATACATGCAGGCAATACACTCATACACATAAAATAAAAATAATAAATTAGCCGGGCATGGTGGCGCACACCTACACCTTTAATCCCAGCACTTGGGAGGCAGAGGCAGGCGGATCTTTGTGAGTTTGAGGCCAGCCTGGTCTACATAGTGAGTTCCAGGACAGCCAGGGCTACAAAGAGACCCTGTCTCAAAAAGACAAAAATAAATAAATAAATAAATAAAATATTTAAAAAAATAGGGTCTCACTATGTAGCCTTGACTGGCCCAGAACTTCGACCAGGCTGTCCTTGAGTTCACAGAGGTTCACTTGCCTCTGCTTCTGGAGTGCTGGGATTACAGATGTGAGCCATCACACCTTGCAAAAGTTTAACAGTGACTTCGTTGAATAACCAGCTTAAAGTCCTTGAAAACAGGGGCGGGCGCACAGAGGGTGGTGAACATCTGACGGTGCTGTTGCTGTTCCGCATGCCTCTGAACGAATCTATCTCTTGCCTTCTAAGAGGCTGTTTGGTGGCCTGATCCCCCACCAAGTGGAGGGGCCCTTCTGCTCACCTGCTGTGTCCTTCCTGCAGCCCTTGGGGTCTTGAGGATATAGATTTCTCATGTCCTAAAGAGTCTTTTGACTACGTGGGTCTTTCCTTGTCTCCCTATGGTAGGAGGAGGGGTATTTGAATTTCCTTCTGTTTATAAAACATTGACCAATAGCAACTTGAAGAAGAAAGAGTTTATTTGGCTACACTGAAGGTTACAACCCATCATTAAGGGAAATTGGCAGGAACCGAGATGGCTCACTCTCTGGCTGCCTCACAGGCTGGTGCTTAGCCAGCTTTCTTTTTTAAAAAATATTTTATTTTTATTTTATTTGTATGAGTGTTTTGCCTGCATGTGTGTAAGTACACCCATGTCGTGCAGTGCCCAAGGAGGTCAGAAGAGGGCATCAGAGCCCTGGAACTGGAGTTACAGGCATTTGTTATACATCATGTGGATGCTGGGATTCGAACCCAAGTCCTCCGCAAGAGCAGCCAGTGCTCTTAACTGCTGAGTCATCTCTCCAGCCCCTTAGCTTCTTTTTTTTTTTTTGAAGCAGGGTCTCCCTGTAGCCCTAGGTGTCCTAGAACTCACTATGTAGACCAGGCTGGCCTTGAACTCACAGAGATCCGCCTGCCTCTGCCTCCCAAGTGCTGGGACTACAGGCGTGCACCACCACTGGCAAGCACCACCACTGGCAACTAGCTAACTTTCTTAAACAGCAGGTACTATGTGCTCAGGGAATAGTACTATCCATAGTAGGCTGGGCCCTCCTAGATCAATTAAAACCACCAAGACACTCCTTCCCCACACATCTGCAAACCAACCTGATAAAAACAATTATTCAGCCGGGCATGGTGGCGCACATCTGCAGTCTCAGCACTTGGGAGGCAGAGGCAGGCAGATCTCTGTGAGTTCAAGGCCAACCTGCTCTACATAGTGAGTTCCAGGACACCTGGGGCTACGGGGAGACCCTGTCTCAAAAAGACACACACACAAAAAATTATTCAATTGAAACTTTTTTTTTTTTTGCTGTTCATTGTGCTTTTGTGAGCCCCAAGAACCATAACAGTCTGCTTCCAGACTACCCACTAGGAGGCTCTCTAAGTAAAGACCACACGGAAAACCACAGAAACGTCAGGAAACTAGGGCTATGTCACCACTACAGAGGCTGGGGCATGTGACCTACCCGCTCTAGAGCTGACAGGAGTGGTTGCCAAGCCCTCCATCTTCATTTCTAACTGTAAGCTTGTCTTCAGTCCCAGTGAATAAAGATGTGTTTTCTGGAGTTTGTGTCATATGCTGAAGAAAACTGACTTCTAGGGGCTGGAGAGATGGCTCAGTGGTTAGGAGCCCTGGCTGCTCTTGCAGAGGACCTAACGCCCTCTTCAGGCTTCTGTGGACACTGCATGCACATAGTCCATTCACACAACACTAAGTCCTTCTGCCCATTGGGCCTCTGGCTCAGGCTGATTTATATTCAAGGCCTGTAGTTGGCCCACCACTTCCTGCAACAAAGGAATCGGGAAATTCAGGGGAAAACAAACTTTTAGGACTAAAGCAGAGGCTGGAACACCGCAGCACCCAAGGGTAGCTGGTCTGGGTTTAAGGACCCCCTTGAGTACCAATCAGAGACCAGTGTCTTTCACACTCAATCCCAAAAGCTTTTTTTTTTTTTTAAGGAGATTCTAGGCTACATCAAGTGAAGTTGATGCCTAGGTAGGACAAGGAGGAGGGAAAGTATCATCCACGTTTCCTCTTCACCTTCAGGTTCTGTCTGAGCCATGGCGGTTGTCCACCAGCCAGACCCCTCAGCAGCAGGTGGAGCTGTTTGACTTTGAGAAGAACCCTGACTATGTATCCTGTGGAGGCGGCTTTGGGCCAGTAAGTGCAGACCATGGGTGTCAGTATATATCTCAGTGCCATTCGACTGGCCTGGAACTCACTGTGTAGTCCTGACTAGCCTCCAGCTCCTGGCACTCCCCCTGCGTCGGCTTCTGAGTGCTGGGACTGCAGTGTGAGGGACCACTGCGTCCTGTCTTGTACTGAGACCAGGCGGTCCCTGTTCACGGGGCCTCAATTCCCACTGATGAACCAGCCTCTTCACTTCCACAGGTTGCTGACGATGGCTATGGCGTGTCGTACATTATTGTGGGAGAGAATTTCATCCACTTTCATATTTCTTCCAAGTTCTCCAGCCCTGAGACAGTAAGTACAAGAGGAGATTCCTTTTTCTAGAGATGGGCCATTTTTCTTTTCTGAGGAAGCAGGTCTTTAACAGAAGAATATCATCATTCTCTTGCTGTAGTTTGAAAGGTGTATGTTTGCCAGGTGTGGTGATGCACACCTTTAATCCTGGCACTGGGGAGGCACAGGCAGTCTGAGCTCTGTGAGTTCAAGGCCAGCCTGGTCTATATAGTCAGTTCTAGGCCAGCTGGGACTACAGAGAGACCCTGTCTCAAAAAGACCAAAAACAAAAAACGGTGTATGTTTATATAGTTTTACCTACTGTTGCTGGGAGCAGAGGTCTTTTTAAAATGTATTTTTATGTGTATGAATGTTTTACCTGCATGTGTATAAATGTACCTATGTTGTGCAATGCTTCTTGAGACCACAAGAGGGCATCAGATCCCCTGGAACTAGAGTTACAGATGGTTGTTAGCTGCCATGTGGGTGCTGGGAACTAAGCCCTGGTCCTATCCAAGAGCAGCCAGTGCTCTTGACCCCTGCTTCCAGTAGCAGAGGTCTGAAATCGTTGTGTCTGTGTGTGCACATGTGTGCTTGTGGAGGCTGGAGGTCAACTTAGAGTATCGTTCCTCACAAGCCATCCCAAGGCACCACTTTGTTTTTTGAGGCAAAGCCTGTCATTAGCTTGGAGCTCACTGCATAGGCCAGACCATGGAGCCCCAGGGATCTGCCTGTCTCTACCTCCCTAGTGCCAGGAAGCTAAGCACATGCCACCACAGCTGGCTTTTCGACCGTGGGTTGTGGGGATGGAAGTCAGGTCCTCATGCTTGTGTGGCAAGTGCTTTTCTGACTGAGTGTCCTCCCAGCCCACAAACCCTAACGTTAGTGTTCTTCTCACTCCCCGTCCCACGATCGGCAAGGTGGACTTAGAATCACTTTTGCAGGATAGGAAGTGTGTGTGTTCGAGGTGGAGCAGGACATCCACAGTGTTGCTTTGTGGGTGACACACGTGGTCACTGTACTCAGCCTGAGAAGCAATACCATGGTTAGTTTGTTTTTACTAAAGTAGGAATTTATTAAAGATGACAGTTTATTAAGACAGCTATAGGGACCAAGGAAAATATGTCACCAGAAAATACTGCTAAGCATGTATTGACTGAACTGTGGGTGGCATTCCTACCAGACCTTCACCTCTGTGTTAAAAATGTTTTTGCATTTGGAAAGGAGAGGCAGAAGGATTATAAATTCAAGGCCAGCCTGGGCTATACAGAGAGACTCTGTCTCAAAAACAACAAAAACAGCCCTTTAATTAAAAAAAAAATTTTTTTGTCTTTTTGAGACAGGGTCTCCCTGTAGCCCCAGCTGTCCTGGAACTCACTATGTAGACCAGGCTGGCCTTGAACTCACAGAGATTTGCCTGCCTCTGCCTCCCGAGTGCTGGGATTAAAGGTGTATGACACCACGCCCAGCCTTAAAATTATTTTTATGTGTATGAGTGTATTGACTGCATGTATAAAAGTGCACCCATGTTGTGCAATGCCTGCGGGGGTCAGAAGAGAGCAAAGGATTCCCCTGGAACTGGAGTTATGGGTAGATGTTAGCCAAAGTGTGGGTGCTGAAAATTGAACGTGGGTCCTCTGCAAGAGCAGCCGGTGCTCTTAACCGCTGAGCCAGCTCTCCAGCCCCCATCCTTCTGATACTTGAATAGTTGGTTTACCTGTTTCCTGGTGAATTAGCCCTACTCTGGCAGGTGTCCGCTGCTGATTCCAGTCCCTTTAGGCTTGTACCAGAGAAATGTCTAGTCTTCAGAGCCCTTGAAGCCCTTTCAAAGGTCAGCGCCTTCAATGGCCAGGCCTCACCAGGTCAGCACACCTCGTGGTCCTCTCTGATCTGTCCAGTAGTGACTGAGTTGGTGATTGAGTTGCCATTGCAACAGGGGGTGTTGATGATTCTAAGGGCCTGGAATCATGCATGCCAGGCAAGCACTCAATCTACTGAGTCACATTTCCAGCCCAGGCAGGAATCTTCCAACTGAGGATGCAATGCAGACATGGCAGTGCCTGTGTTTAAGATATGCTAGGTGGGCTGGAGAGAGGGCTTAGTGGTTAAGAGCACTGGCTGCTCTTGCAGAAGACCCGGGTTCAAATCCAAGCACCCACATGGCAGCTAACAACTGTCTGTACTCCAGTTCCAGGGGATCTGACAGCCTCTTCTGTCCTCCGTGGGCACTGCATGGCACGGGTGCATTTGCCTACATGCAGGCAATACATGCACACACATAAAATAAAAATAATAAAATATTTTTAAATTAAAAAACAGAGCACTTCCTGCTCTTACAGAAGACCTGAATTCAAATCCCAGCATCCAACTGGCAGCTAACAACTGTCCATAACTCCGGTTCCAGAGAATCCGATAGCCTCTTCTGACCTCCTTGGGCACTGCACAACACGGGTGCACATACCTACAGTGGCCAGTGGCAGGCTCGGGCCATACTACAAAGCCGCCTCAGCTTTGTAAGCACATTAATTACAGAGTTTGGGGGTGTTTTGTTTTTTATTGAAAAAGGGTCTCATGTAGCTCAGGGTGGCCTTGAACTTGCTGTATAACCACGGATGACCTTGAATTTCTGATCTTCCTGCCTTCACCTCCTGAGTGTTGGACTTACAGGTGTGGACCAGCACACCAGGTTTATGTGGTGCTGGGGATGGAACACAGGCTTTCTGCAAGCTAAGCGAGCTCTCTGCTAGATGAGCTGCGGCCATTCCCAGGTTGGGCTTTTTAAATACAGTTTTTCAATTGTTCATGTGCATGCACATATGTGTTCATGCCACAGTGCATGTGTGGAGGTCAGAGGACAAGCTGTGGGAGTCTTTATTTCCTTCCACCTTCTGGGTCGCCAGAATTAAACGCAGGAGCATCAGGCTTGAGCAGCAAGTGTGTTTACCTGCTGAGCCATGTTGCCAGTCCTGAGATACATTTGTTTGTTTGTTTTAGGGTTTTTGAGAGAGTCTTACTGTATAGCCCAGGCTCTCCTCAAATTCTCAGTCCTCTTGTCTGGCCTCCCAGGTAATGTGCCTCCATGCCTGGCTTTGTTTGCTCATCTTTGAGACAGGGTCTACCTGTAGCCCCAGCTGTCCTGGAACTCACTATGTAGACCAGGCTGGCCTGGAACTCACAAAGATCCGCCTGCCTCGGCCTCCAAAACTGGGATTAAAGGCGTGCGCCACCACGCCTGGCTGTTTGCTCATCTTTGAGACAGGGTCTCACTATGTAGCTTTGACTGGCCTGGAACTCGGATATGTAGACCAGGCTGGCCTTGAACTCATAGAGCTCTGCCTGCCTCTGCCTCCTGAGTGCTGGGTAAAAGTTCTGAATCACATGTGTAAGAATTTGGTCTGCTGGTAGAAGCAGTGGGGATGCTCCTGGAGGGCTCCTGGGGAAGGGCTGATGTTGCATAGCCAACATCAAACAGGGTCCCAGGAGGCTGCCCAGACTGGCCCAGTTCACGTGGTTAAGAACTTGCTCACAGTGTGGACTGGAACAGGGAATGACAGGGAGGGCTGAAGGTCAGACCCACCCACATAAGCAGGTCACCCACAAGCTGATCTCTGAGCACTCCAGGTATCCACCATTCCCTCAGAGCTAGTGGGCAGACAGGAGGCTGGACTAACCCAGGGACAGACGGCTGATGAAAGGCTCTGAACATAGAATTTCCACACACTAGCGCATTCTCTTTTTTTAATCTTGGTTGTGTGTGATATCTGCCTGTGTACAGGCAGAGGTCTGGGGAGGGCCTCTTGTGTCCTCTGTTGGCTCCGCCTTACTCCCTGAGGCAGGGTCTCTCTCGGAACCTGGAGCTCACTGCTTCTGGCTAGGCTGGCAGGCCAGCGAGTTCCTAGTAATCTTTCCACCTCTGCGCCCTCAACAGGGGCACACATGAACCTGCTTGGCTTTCATGTGGCTCCTGTGGAATCCGAACTCGGGTCCTCTGTCCTCTGGCTGCACAGCAAGCACGGAGCCCTCTCCCCAGTGGCTCTGATTCTTCTGAGAAAGAGTCCTGCTTATACAGCCTAAGCTGGTCTTGAACTTGCAGAGGTCCACACTCCTGCCTCAGCCTCCTGAGGGCTGGGATTTCCCCGGCCCCTGACTCATTCTGCCTCTGTCTCCCTCAGGACTCACACCGCTTTGGGAAGCAGTTGAGACAAGCCATGATAGACATCATCAGCTTGTTTGGCCTCACCCTCAATTCCAAAAAGTAACCCTGCTGGGCTATATCGAAGGGAAACGGACTCTTCTGATAGAAACCAAACGACTAGGTACCACTTCTGACCTGTTGTACAGGGGAAAGAAATTACTCTTAGAAAACTCAGTTTTCCTTCCAGAAAAGGTTCACTGTGTCTCCCTAGAACAGTAGGTCCCACCCTGTGAAGCGGGACCCTACTACTTCCGGGGATGTTGGGGACATTGGGCACTGTCCCCCAAAGTCCTTCAAATTGACTAGTATTCATTAAGGGATTAAAATGCTGTTGATTTCCTGGGTTAGTGGGATTGTGGCTTCACACATGTTGGAGGTGAGAGGCTTCCTCAGTGGTGACCCCATGAATACCTGGGACCTGAGGGTGCCTGACGCCAGCAGAGCAGTGTAAACATTTGTCCTGTCGACAGAGACAGTGTTGTGGGAGCTGGCAGTGGTTATAGCTGTATCTAACACACATAATGTACTAACAGGATGCGCTGGCTGGGAATGGAGGCCTGCTGCAGGTGAAGGCCGTTAGCCCTTTGCCAGCATACATGTATTTCCACCTTTGGCGCCAAGTACACCACGTCCTGAGTGTTCCCATCTTACATGTCCTCAAAACCTAGTGCCTTAAAGATAGGAGGCCCCAGTGCAGGGGCTGTAGGGAAAACCTATTTTGTCTGTGGGTGGGTATATGAGGGTGCTGCTCTCCTCTCGGTTTTCCACTCTAAGTCAGCACTTCCCCACCCCTAGACCAGATCCCTCAGGGTGCATTTACCATTAAGCAACAAAAGAAAGACAGGCGGGTGTCAACAGAGGGGAGTGAGGGGTGTGAGGGTCAAGAGCACATAGCTGGACACCCAGCTGAAGAACCATGACTTGCTGTGTATGGCAGCTGGTGGCTTAACAACAGCTTACCACTGGAACGGGAGCAGAGAAGACAGGAGGCAGCCTCACCACCACCAGGAGACACAGGTCCCAGGCACCAGGATTCCTCTTCTAATCTCACAGTCAGACTTGTTCTTGGCTCCAGAGTAGTCTGGGTCATCTTGGTGACAGACTAAAGGGTCTCAAGTGACAGGTGCTAGGTTCTCAGATCCCATCCCTCAATGGATGACAGTTCCTTTCTCGTGAGCACCTGATTGGCTGCAGGCATGTCTGCACTGAGTGGGCTCAGTGTTTAATGGAAACATAAACATCACAGAGTGGCCTCCCACCCTGAGTGGGCTCAGTGTTTAATGGAAACATGAACATCACAGAGTGGCCTCCCATCCTGAGTGGGCTCAGTGTTTAATGGAAACATGAACATCACAGAGTGGCCTCCCACCCTGAGTGGGCTCAGTGTTTAATGGAAACATGAACATCACAGAGTGGCCTCCCATCCTGAGTGGGCTCAGTGTTTAATGGAAACATGAACATCACAGAGTGGCCTCCCACCCTGAGTGGGCTCAGTGTTTAATGGAAACATGAACATCACAGAGTGGCCTCCCACCCTGCCTCTGCTGGCCAGCCCATTGTGGCAAGCTTAGCTGTCCACATTTTAAGTTGTGTATTTATTTTTTCTGACCACTGAGTGTCCTCTCTGGCCTTGCCGGCTTCTGCTGTCCCAGCAGTACAAATGCAAGGACAGAGCGACCAGAGCTGACAGAGGCCCTGGCCGAACAGCTCATGTGTGTCTTGTGGGTGTGTTTTTTGGTAATCTAAAAAAAAATTCCACCTAAAAGGACCAAAGATTTTTTTCCCTCTTAAAAGCAAGAAAACAAAAGTCAAAAATAAGAAATAAAAAGGTAAAATCAAGAATCAAAACAAGATAAGGCACAGCCACCTAAATCATATGTTAGTGACCGCTGACCAATCCCATGTTACCCTGTATCACACGCGAACCTCAGTGCAGACTTGGTAACAGGCACATCTGGGCTCATTGCTCAGGTTCTGGATGTGTCCAGGTCCTGGCTGCCCATCTCCTTACCAGGAGGAACAGGCTTTTGTTGTACATGTCAAAAGGAGGTAAGAGTATTGTATATTTAATTTAATTCGGAACAAAATGTTGTCTTACTGCAGTCATGCTTTGAATTTGGTGTCCTAATTTTTACATTGCATGTAAATACAATATGCTGTTTAGTTGTAAATTTTAGAAATTCCTAATGTGAAGGAGGCTGACTATTAATAAAACATTAATCCCTTCTACCCAGCATTTGGCCTGTCTCCTTTGTTAACTAATTGGGGTTATACAAGTTCTGACCAGCACAGACAGCTGGGAGAGACATCACTAAGTTCCTGCTCATACTTGACTGAGGAGCAGCACAGCACAGCCAGCCGACTCCCACTCATTCATCCATTCCTCTGTGTGGTACCTGACAAGCAGTAGGTACTTAATAGATGCATGTTAAATGAATGATGGTTCAGTTTGCTTTTTTGGCACGTGTGTGGTATATGCATGTGTGTGCAGGTGTGCATATCTTGCATACATGTGCAGAGGCCAGAGGAGTCCTTTGCCACCCTCCACCTCATTCCTTCGACACAGGGTCTCTTACTGAACCTGGAACTAGTGTTTCTTGGTTAGGCTAGCAGCTAGGGAGCCCCTTTCACTTGCACCCCCCACCTCAGTGCTGGGGTTACAGGCATGCACAAGACCAAGCCTGGCTTTTGCTAGGTGCTGTGTGCTGTGATCTAAACGCTGGTCCTCATGCTGGTGCGGCAAGTGTTCTTAACTGCTGTGCCATCTCTTCAGCCCCAGATTCAGTTTTTCTTTCTTTCTTTCTTTCTTTCTTTCTTTCTTTCTTTCTTTCTTTCTTTCTTTCTTATCTCTCTCTCTTTCTTTTTTTCTTTCTATAAATAAACAAACAAATAAATAAATGTGGCACACACCTTTAATCCCAGCCCTTGGGAGGCAGAGGCAGGGGGAATCTCTGCGAGATGGAGGCTACCCTGGTTCAGGCAGGCTGTGACTAGGGAGACCCTGTCAAAAAATAACCAAAAAACCAGATGTAATAATAATGATGATAATAAAAATTCTTTTATTATTTTTATTTTGTGTGTACAAGTGTTTTGCCTGCATGTATGTAAGTGCACTCATATTGTGCAATGCCCACAGAGGTCAGGGGAGGGCATCTGACCCCCTGAAACTGAAGTTACAGGTAGTCGTTAGCCTGGGTCCTCTGCTAGAGCAGCCAGTGCTCTTAATGCTGGGCCATCTCTCCAGTCCCGGACTCAGTTTCTCTAGCATGCTTTCATGAACACCTGTTCTAGGCTCTGAGCATACAGGCCCTACCACCCCCTCCAGGTTCGAGGTGTCAGCGCCAGTTCCTAGACAGCCAAGTGAGTCTTTTAACGTGTGTGGTGGTGCATGAAGGCTTCAGCCGTGCCCCTCCCACATCACACTCTAGGCCACGCCCATTTCTAGAAAAGCCCTCCACCATTGGCCAGGGCCCTTCCCACACGACACAGGCCTAGGTAACCACAAACCAGGTAACTCCCCTTATTGGCCAGACCCCGGTCCATCACCACCAAGCCCTGCCCATCAGTGGACAGTACCTATCAGACATAGGCCTCACCCAACCAGTCAATTCTCGTCTATTGGCCAGGCTCCTGTCCGTCATGAAGTAGGCCCCGCCCACCACCGCCCAGGTCCTCTCGCAGGCCACGCCCCATCACGTGGTGGTCCCGGGCCCCTTTCTCAACACAGGCCCCGCCCACCATTGGCAAGGTGTCATGTTCGCCCCGTCTATCAGGCCACGCCCACCATGGGCCAGGGGACCCACAAACCATTAGCCAGCTCCCATCATGTCACAAGCCCCGCCCACCACTGCTTAGGCCCCGCCCCTTCCCAACGGTCAACGGCCAGTTCCTCAGAGGACTCATCGCTAAGGCGAGCGCCGCGGCCATGGAGGACGGGCTCCTGGGCGCCATACCCGACCCCGACGACGAGCTGGGTGCCGAGCTGTTCGGGCCGGAGCGCGCATTCGCGGACGGCCCGGCGCTGAGCCCCACGGCGGGCCCCGCGGAGCTGGACGAGCTGCCGGTGCTGGCCGACGCCTACCTGGGCGCCGTGGAGCCCGCCGAGCCGCTACTGCGCGCGTTCATCCCGCCGCCGGGCGCCGAGGAGCCGGCCGCGCTGCTCGGGGACTTCGCGGAGCTGACGGAGCTCCGCGGCCACGACGACGCTGCGCCGGCCTACAGCGTGCACGTGCTGTCGTCGCTGCTGCCCCTGGGCGCCGGAGTGCGTGTCATCCCAGTAAGCGCCGGCAGGGTGCGCCCCCGTGCGCGCCCACGACCGCTCCCGCCGCCCTGGATCCTTCCCGGGCTGTGGGACTAGACACCCTCTGTGGAGCTGCGGGCGGAACCCGGGCCTGGCGCGTGCTCAGTCAGTGGGTTGTTGCCGCTGCAGCCCTGGCTGACCTGGAACCGGCTGTGTAGACCAGGCTGGCCACTGACTCAGAGTCTGTCTGATTCTGTCTCGGATTAAAGGCGTGGGCCAACACGCTGGGATGGGTGGATGGATGGATGGATGGATGGATGGATGGATGGATGGATGGATTGGGTTAAAGGCGTGGGCCAACACTCAGGGATGGGTGGGTGGATGGGTTAAAGGCGTGGGCCAACACGCTGGGATGGATGGATGGATGGATGGATGGATGGATGGATGGATGGATGGATGGATGGATGGATGGATGGATGGATGGATGGATGGATGGATGGATGGATGGATGGATGGATGGATGGATGGATGGATGGATGGATGGATGGATGGATGGATGGATGGATGGATGGATGGATGGATGGATGGATGGATGGATTGGGTTAAAGGCGTGGGCCAACACTCAGGGATGGATGGGTGGATGGGTTAAAGGCGTGGGCCAACACGCTGGGATGGGTGGATGGATGGATGGATGGATGGATGGATGGATGGATGGAT